AAATTGGTAAAACAACCCCCGAAATCTTTGCAGATACGCAAGAAGATATATGCCTTACATGTAACAGGTGCGAATAAAATTGCAGAGCAAATATTTTTTATTAAAATTGGTCTCTCTGGTATTAGGATTAACTTGATAAATTCCGAAATTGTACCCATTTTCACCGTGACAATATATTAATGGATATTGTAGAGCATCATAATATCGATGCGTTTCATAAATCCCTGGCAGTCGATCGTCATGTGTGTGCAATACGATGTCACGTCTATCGCACTCCTGGTCAACTAATACCACTGCCACTTCATCAGTGACAGGAACGTTGCTACCGCGGTGTTCAGTAACTTTTTTTTAGTAACGGGACGCCTGTCAGCGTTAATAACTATTTTATAATTGTTTATTAAATCTTGACGGATCGTTTGCAATGCAACCCTAAAACTGAACGTATGGATTTATTTCATGTAGCACCCTTTGAAGTTGGGATATGAGTTCGCTATTGAGTTGTGGGAAGTTGTGACTTGTGATTTCGGATATTAGTATGTTCATTATAATCTGATACAAAATAAATTGACTATTTTACTTATATATACATATATATTTATAACTCATAATATATATCATTTAATTTAATTTATTAAGTTGAAATTGAAATTGAAAATATATAATATCTACATTGGTTCTGCGTAATGTATGGTTATTTGTGAGACTGACTGCACGTCAGTGAGTCTCAATACGATTCGAAGTATCTTAACGCCGCAATTCAGAAAAGAATGTAATTTGTACAATGCCATCTATTACGTTCGTTGTGAGAAAACTTTTTTAATTTAAGGAAAACATCTTTTTTATTGTTTACTTTGTTTTAAGTATAAATACCTATATTTTTATAGAACGTTTTTTTACACACAAATCTTTTTATTACTTTTTCTGAGATTTTATGGCGCAATTGAACAAATTAGAACCTACATTTTAAACTAATAATCATAACTTTCGATAGAATTAACCAAATTTAATAAAACAAAAATTAAATGTAACTTGAAGATACGCTATATGATTTTCTTAACGATTTCTTTTACTTTAGATGTGATGCGTTTATAAACAAACAGACAGACAGACATACAATTCTAAAAATTATAAAAATGTGTTTTCTTAATTACACAATGACAAATATTCTATACAATGTGCAAAAACAGACACAACATGTTATCACCATTTTTATTATAAGTATATATTTAAAGAGAGATGGCGCTGCTAACAGCAATCATCAATTCTAAAAATAAAAGAGATTAATTGACGCGATTGGTACATTATTATATATATAAAAACAATGTACAAAAACAGACACAACATGTTATCACCATTTTTATTATAAGTATATATTTAAAGAGAGATGGTGCTGCTAACAGCAATCAATTCTAAAAATAAAAGAGATTAATTGACGCGATTGGGTACATTATTATATAAAACATAAAAGAACTTATAAACCAGTGTCTGCATAGTAAGCAAAACCCCTTTTTATATTACATTTTGACCATACCGCCATCTATCGATGAAATTGGTTAACTAATTCACTTTAGATTTAGTTAATAAGTTTATAATATATTTTTGTTTATTTTGTATATTATTTTATTTAATACGTTCTTTAATACTTTTGTTTACTGCATTTTAGATATAATTATATCATTATAGAACATTATTTTACCTAATTTAATTATGATTTATGATATAGTATTAGTTTAAAATGCACTTGATGACTCAACCAACGCCACCGTTGAACAAATTCGTACCTATACTTCGTATTCATACTTCAGAATATTTATCATAACTTTTGATTGAATGAACTGATTTTAATAAAATAAAGACTAAATGTAACACGAAGATATACTTTATATTTTCCTTAATGATTCTTATGATATAAATTAGTACTTTATACGTGATACGTTAACAAACAAACAGACAGACAGACAGACAGACAGACAGAAAATTCTAAAAATGGTAGAAATGTATTTAGTTACTTATTTTTAGTACCTCTCAATCACTTTTATTACAAAAATATAAAATGTACAGACGTCTGCTTTTTACATTTTTATTATATGTATAGATGTATAACAATTTAAAAAATATAAATATAGCTTTGCTAGTAATGTTGTGTTATTTTTACAAAAAATCTGTTAAGTATACAGAGCTCTGGTCCTCAAGTGGCAATGATACAATAGAAATACACTACACTTCTTGCTCTCAACTCAGCATTAGCTGTTGAATGTAGTTACGATTTGTTTGTTGTATGCAGCTGTAGGATCTTTAGAGATGTCACTTTTTGTTTCATTATAGCTAACGCGATGTCTTTACAGTTTTCATACTAAACTTTACGTACATATAAAAATTCATTCATCATTTATTTTTAGACAGATGACACTGTTTGTTTATGACTAGCGATCCGTCCCGGCTTCGCACGGTTAATTTCTGGATCTTGACAACAATGCCATCTACCGGGCCCGATGGTGAATCTAAACCATTCTCTAATTAATTTAATCACACACAAAATTTCTGTTTGTTCGTTAAAAAAAGCTAAAAATCTATTAGTTAAAACTACATAACTAATAGTTTCCAAAACAAATTATAGCTAATAAATTATTAATGTTTGCCTTTGTTTTTGCTTTATAAGTCTATAATCGCGAAGGCCGTGGTCACAGCCCGTCATAAAGTTGTTTATTCACGCCAATTCACACGAATACTAGCATACGGAATACACTTTACTTTTTTCAAATGATTTAAACGTATGTGTAATGGTGGTGGCCGTCCCGCGCCACCGGGACCGCTACTACCTCCGCGCTACTTTTTTCTAGGGACTTTGGAACAACCGTGATATTTCACTGGTGTCCCTCTTTGCGGCAATTGACGCAGTTCGGGGGTTCAACTGTCTCGGGTGTGCGGGGGCAGTCAGTGGTGCCGTGGTCACGTAGGCATGTCATGACTTCGTAACACCATATCAAATTATCGTAATAGAATACAATGATTTCTATTCAATATTAATTTAAAATAATTCTTATTGAAAATTATCATTAATATAACAATAAGAATAACAATTTTCGGTTTAGTTATATCTATTTATCTATGCTGTCAACTTTTCTAACGTTGAACCAAAGTTGCTAGTAGCATCGTCAGTAGGGCTACCACTTTTTTGAACAAATATAGTACTTTTCCCAAAAAAGGATGCAAAAATATAGTAGGTACTTTTGGGAAAAGGAAAGAAAAAGTATGCAATTATTTTTAATCTTTGGAGATGTATTTCCATATATATTTGTTATTGATCTTCGCTTTGGCCATCAATGACCTTTAAAATAATTATAGTAGTCTGAGCATTTTAGATTGATATTAAAATAAACTAACAACATGCTCTATTTTTTTCTCTTTCCATTTTACATTCATGACGTAATTTTTTCTGAAACTTGTTCCAAACTTCCAGTCACAGTTGATATAAAAAAGCGCGACAGTTGAATTAGGGATAAAAATATAGTATTTTTCGTACTATATTATTTTTCTATAATAAATAGTACAATTGACTGAAATGTAGTATGATACTATATCTTATAGTACGGCTGGCAACCCTAATCGTCAGTTTCATTCTATGTCTAATCTCTAAAGATTTGAGTATTATTTTTATTATGTACTAACGTGATGTGACACATGTCCTTGGTTGTTAGCCGCGCTGCGCACGTCAATAGTCGCACAACTCGCAACAATGCCGCCGCTTGTAACATGTCACCGGGTAGGTATATTCAATTATTGACATGTTATGCCATATTTTCACAAATTTGCTCATGATGACATCAAACTTCCGCGTATACATTTTTATACACCTCCGTGAGACATCAGCACTTCATGATAAAGCGACACGGGAGCGGTGCGTCACGTGCAGTCTGCGCCTGTATGTTATCTGATGGCAAGCGTGTTAGATTACACGCCGCCTGTCTTCTTAACATTATCCAGTCAATCCAGTGATATTATGAGTTTTTTAATATTTCCAAACAAAAGATTAACTAAAATTTAGAGTGAAACTAAATATAATCACTGGTTAGTTCAGGTCTATTATGAACACTAATTGGAATAGCCCAAGGAGTATACAATAAATTAAAAATAATACAAAGAATCGAGTACGTCATAAGTACAGAGTATAGAGGGGAGGGAGCGCAGGGAGCGCAGGGCTAACGGAGACAACTGTAAAATCTGCGTAATATTTCGTACAAGATGACGTTGTGACAAGGATTAAGAAAGGAATGCTTCGGTGCTTCGGTTTTGGTCATGTAGAAAGAATGAACGAGGAAAGAGTGACAAAGTAAATTTATGTTGCAGAAGTGAACGGCAGGGTCGGGAAGGGACGCCATAGACGAAGATTTATCGACCAAATCGGCGATACATTAAAATGGGCCAGATTAGGAGTACCCTTACCCGACGAGCGTGTATGCGTAGATATATGGATGTAAAGGAGGCGAGAGGTGTGTCAGGATCGCGCCAAATGGAAGTCCGTAGTCTCTGCCTACCCCTCTGGGTGACAGGCGTGAGTGTTTGTGTGTGTTATTTCGTACTACGCTTGATTATAGTTTTATTTACCTACGGTGAATAAATTTATTGAAAACTATAGTCTAGACAGCATATTATATTGTATTTGTAGTAAAAACATGTAAAAATATACAAAAATTTGCTAGCACCAGTCGCAGTCGCCTGCACGTATATCTACGAACAGCACTGACATAACCAGTTTGAATTGATTTAATGAACCAACAGTACAGTAAACTAAATTATTGGTCCACCGTGTGCCTTGTCTAAATTGCGGGTTTTTATAATTGAGTTGAATTAAATTCAAGGCAGCAAATTATATCTATCGTTTAAATTTATCGTTTAAAATATCTTATATTATTTATTTGTTAATACTTCTAATCCTTTTAGTATTACTAAAAATCTTATTCCACCAAATTTTAACATATAACTTGTTTGCAATGTTGTAGGTCTTCACGGGCTGCCCGAACGCAATGGAAAACTTAAAGATCTAGCACATTTTGATGCGACGTTCTTCGGCGTGCACGCAAAACAGGCGCATCTGATGGATCCACAGCTGCGACTGCTGTTGGAGCTCACGCACGAGGCCATCGTGGACGCCGGCTACAACCCGACCGAGCTGCGCGGCTCGCGCACCGGCGTCTTCGTCGGCGTGTCCAACTCTGAGACCGAGGAGATGTGGACCGCGGACCCCGACAAGATCAACGGCTACGCGCTGACTGGATGCTGTCGGGCCATGTTTCCCAACCGCCTATCGTACACGTTCGACCTGAAGGGGCCATCGTACGCGGTGGACACGGCGTGCTCGAGCTCAATGTTCGCGCTCGCGCAAGCGGTGGCGGCGATGCGCGCGGGCCAGTGCGACGCGGCCGTGGTGGCCGGCACCAACCTGTGCCTGAAGCCGGCCAACTCGCTCAACTTCCACCGGCTGAGCATGCTGTCGCCGGAGGGACGCTGCGCCGCGTTCGACGCCAGCGGGCGCGGCTACGTGCGCTCGGAGGCGGCCGTGGTGGTGCTGCTGCAGCGCCGCGGCGCCGCGCGCCGGCTGTACGCGTCCGTGCGCGGCGCGCGCATGAACACGGACGGCAGCAAGCCGCAGGGCATCACCTTCCCGTCGGGCGACGTGCAGCGCCAGCTCGCCGAGGAGACGTTCGCCGCGGCGGGCCTGCGCCCGCAGGACGTCGCCTACGTCGAGGCGCACGGCACCGGCACCAAGGTACGAGCGCACCCTCCCCGCCCCCTCACACTCACCCTCACCCAATGCCACCCGAAACTCGCCTTCCCAACTTGTCACACCACACACCAGTCTCTTTACTTTATGTATATTATATGGCTTGATTTATTTTGGACGTAATCTTAAAATGTTATTAAATTTAACGAGCACATTGAAATACCGTTAATATTTAAGTGCTTTGTACGACAAGCTACAAGAAGCGAGCTCTTGATGTTCTATCGCATCTGAAATAAGCTGTTTATCTTGGATGCAGTTTCAGTAATATTAACACATCCAGACCTGGAATCCAACCTCATCCATCATAGAAATGATTGCCACTGCGCTGCACTGGTTGGATTCATTCAAAACTAGAACACGCGACTCAGTACTCGGTCTTTGTAACGACTAGTGTAAACCTCCCTTCGCCCTCCTTCCAATCTCATTTTAATCGCGATTTGTCGCCGTTTCAGGTCGGAGATCCACAGGAGGTGAACGCTATCGCAGATTTATTCTGTAAAGATCGCAAAACGCCGCTGCTTCTGGGTTCGGTCAAGTCTAATATGGGTCACTCAGAGCCGGCTTCGGGCTTGTGTTCCATCGCGAAGGTGGTGGTGGCGATGGAGCACGGCGTCATCCCCGCCAACTTACACTACAAAACGCCCAATCCTAACATACCAGCACTGAGCGACGGGAGAATTAAGGTACGTTTCGCTTGTAATTTTATATTTAATAATTTTATGTTAATAATAACAATTGCAAACGCGCTAGAGGCGACACATCGAAAACCGTTGAAGCGGGCTATCGCCGGACTAACCAGAGTAAAACATAATTTCTATAAAAACTTCAAAAACGCCGTCATAAGGTCTAAAATTGCGTAGCGCCCGCGACTATTAAAACCGCTTAGAAATCGCGTAGAATCTTAAAATATTTTTAAAAAATTATTGATTTTAGCAATTAAAATAATGAGCAAGTAAATTACGAATATTGATGTTATGAATGTATTCGAGTGGTTTCCAACCATATAGATTAAGTAATTTCGTTGTAATTTCAACTATAGTGATTTTTTAGAGGTGTTTTCGCAAATTATTATGATCGAGTCAAAATTTTACAATCGTGTTTTTGAGCAAGCAAACTCAAGATAAAGACATGAATTTACCTATATCAAAATTCCAGTTTCGTTAGTCGTGTCATACTCCTATACTATTCGATGAAAGGAGGTGCATTTTTTCGCGGTGTCGCCTTATTTGTGCACCAACTTTCAAACGTTGTCGATCATTTGTTTGTTATGTGGTGCAATTTCATAGTAGTCAACCATGGATAAGTATTCAATTTAAGAAAACGTTAGCGGTAAAAATAATTAATTTAAACAAGTCTATTGTGCGAGGCGCATGGATAAAGAAGGCATAGTAAGGTACATGCGGGTAGCGCCCTGTTAAAACGAGTAAAGTCCGCGCATTCTATCTTGGCCGGGCTAAAGTTAGTGGCGACCTGTGCAGATATAGTTTTTACGAACATAATTAAAAATTAATAAATTTTGTACAACCGACTTCAATATATATTATTAAGAGTAACTCAAAAACTATTAGTCAGACCTTGATCAAATTTATATGGGACCACATGAGAAGCACCAGCTTACAAATTAAAAAAAAGTCATCGAAATCGGTTCACGTAGAACAAAGTTATGAGGTAACACACATAAAAAACGTATAGTTGAATTGAGTACCTCTTTCTTTTTGAAGTCTGTAGAAAATGTTAACAAGAGGAGAGAGAGAGAGGATGGACGATAATTTAAACTAGAGATACGACACAATTACACTTGCGTAACTAATCGATTATGATTCGTTTTACTTTAAATATTTTATGGGTCATTGGTGTGTAAATGCAAAATGTCGTTTTAAATACTGTAATTATGATGATGTGCATTAAATTTTTTATTGAAAAGTTAAAAGTTATTTTAAATTGGGGTTACTGAAAGAATTTGTCGTCGCTGCTAATATCGTGTATTTTTACTATATAATCTAACTGTTTGTCGTAATTTTTTATTAGGTACTCTTGCTTTACTAAAATACATAAAGATATTTTCAGTTTAGTTATAATTTTTAATTTATTCTATAATTATTGTTATAGACAAAACAAACTGTTTTCCTAAGCAATCTTAGAATCGAATATGAAGTGGCCCATCTCTATCGACTAGCGTTTGACTCTGAAAGTTGATTTCAGTCCGGACAAGAAAGAACGCGCGGACCGTACAACTAACAGCGCGGACAGTTACCTGCTTTGGGCGTCTCAGGTCATGACGTGATGTATACTTCGTATAAGCTTCTCCCATATATTCCCCTTATGTACTGCATCAGCGCAGTTTTTCTAAAATAGTCTTTGAGAAGCTAAAACATAACGCTCTTATTCTCGATTTAGCCTCATTAATTGCAGCACCTACTGTTGACGATAAAGTCTCCATTGTTAACCATAATTTTCTCAGCCTTTATGATGCATGAGCTCCAGTTCACAAAGTTAGATTGAAGCGTCCCCCAGTCCCATGGTTGACAGAGGGCGGACGTAAGGTTGGCAATGTCTAGACGAAATTGTACTTTTCCTCGTTTTTCGTTCGAAAGTACCTAGGAAAATTGGATGTCTTTTAAAACAGCTAGGAATAAATGCAATCAGATGGTACCTGCAGCTAGACGCCGAAATTTTCATAATTGTATTAATAACTCTTCTCTAGGCTTATTATATTAATATAGCTCTAGGCTTGATGGAAATGATTGAAAGTGTGTTATTTATAATCTATATTGAATAAAAAAGTTTTTTTTTAATTTGTATTTGTATATGTTGAGCGCAGGTGGTCGCCGAGAACACGCCATGGGATGGCGGGTTGGTGGCGGTGAACTCGTTCGGGTTCGGCGGCGCCAACGCGCACGTGATCCTGGAGTCGCACCGCGGCGGGCGGGCGGCCGGCGCCCCCGCGGGCCCCGCCGCCCCCAGCCTGCCGCGCCTGCTGCTGGCGTCGGGCCGCACGGAGGAGGCCGCGCGCCGCCTGCTGGCGCTGGGCGCGCAGCACGCGCACGACGCCGACCTGCACTCGCTGCTCGACGCCGTGCACGCGCACAACATCCCCGGACACACGTTCCGCGGCTACCGCCTGCTCACCGACGACCCGGAACCCATCGAGGAGGTCCTAGTGAGTACCCGTCACACGCCGTCGCTCCTTACTCTCTTCTAACGTATATATCAATACTAAATGTTTATACTAATTAAATGTCCATTGTATTTAGTTGCATAGTTGTCAGATCAAGTTTACACTGTGCTCTTCAGATTTTATTTATTTCTTCATTTTGAATTAGGGAACAATTATTTGTAGGTCTTACAAATACCTATTCCATGCAGGGTTCAAACTCGCGACCCTCGGCGCCGCAACTAAATGCTAAGCCACTGCGCTTTGGAATCATCCAACTGGTTTTTATATTTTGCACGGAGATATTCTACACGTCTCCACATAGTATCAGCGCTTATTTTGTACGTTACCAGTGATAGCAGATAGAGAGGTGTGACGAGGTGACATGGTGACATGATGACGTGGTGTGTGTGTGCGTGCAGGAGGTGGAGAGCGGGGAGGCGCGGCCCGTGTGGTTCGTGTTCTCGGGCATGGGGTCGCAGTGGGCGGGCATGGCGCGCGCGCTGCTGCGGCTGCCGCAGTTCGCGCGCAGCGTGGCGCGCTCGGCCGCAGCGCTGCGCCCGCACGGCCTGGACCTGGCGCACCTGCTGTCCGACGCGCCGGACTCTGCTTTCGACGACGTGGTCGCCTCCTTCGTGTCCATTGCCGCCGTGCAAGTGGCGCTCGTGGACGTGCTGCGTGAGGTGGGCGTGCGCCCCGACGGCATCGTCGGACACTCTGTCGGAGAGATCGGTCAGTGCACTACCATTGTAACTCTCACCATCGCATCCTTTTATACTTAATGCAGCCTTTCAACCGAAACAAAAAATAATTAGACTTATTGATAAGAATACAATACGTTTTCAGTTAGAATTACATTTTTTTTTAAATTAAAGTTTGTTCATCTAAAGTGAGTCTTATCATCAAAATCGGTCTAGCTATTTCGAAACAAACAAACAAACAGACAGACAAAAATTTTAAAAATTGATTTCTTTCTGTTATAAACACCGTATATGTTTAGGCCCAAAAATGGTTATTTGAAACGCCATCCAATAATACTTAGCGAATCGCCCGATGTGTGAGGTGACATGCGCGTTGCGGGGAGGGGGCATCGGTATGCGGCCTCCCGGCGTTTTGGCGCTCGTGGCCGAAAACAGTAGCTTTAGTGCAGCGGCGCCGTCGCAACGTAACATATTTGTGGTGACCGTGGCAGCGATTTCGTGCGACCAGTTTTGGTTTTATGGTCTAGATTTTCAGTATTTGTGCGCGCACTTCGCTACATAACTTGTGTTTCGTGAAGACAGCCTCGGATTAGGTTGTCTAAGTATTGCAGTGAGTCTACTCGGGCCGCGTGATCACTGCCTTAGAAGGTCGCGTTCGGTTCTCGAAATAATTTGTTGCTGAGTGAACGGAAGTGAACTTTGACCCACCGTTCATCAGTCGTCCCGCGTGTTGCGTTACGTTTTTTATTATAATTAACGGGATTTAGTTGAGTTTTGAAGTTAGTTAAATGTACAATAAAGTTGCTAGACTGACATAGTGAATTGAAGAGAGAATCATTGTGAGGAACTACCGGTTGTAAAGGGCGCGTGTGGAATTATAACGTCGATTTAAGTGCCTCTCATTTTTGCGTTGTTTTTTTTTTGTTTATTTTACGTGTCAACGAGGCTGAATTTGAGTTTGAGCGATTAAATAACGTCGTTACAATTAATTAGCGTCAAGCGCTATAGTGGTTGCATGCATAAGTGCATTCTGACAATATTAATTCGCGTCAACGAGTTGCTTTGTGCCATTTGATTTAACTTGGAGATATTTTCCTGTGTCGGTTAAAAGCGCTAAACTTTGTGACCCGCGAGAACCAGCGTTCGTATTAGATTATAGATTTGTGCCAATGGACGCTAGACTTTGAGTGACACCGAGTGACGCAGCTGGAGTGATACCACATAGGGTGGCGGTGCTGGAGTCAGGGTTGCTGCTGATTAACAGAAACAGAAACAGAAACAGAAACAGAAACTTTTTTATTCAATATAGATTATAAATAATACTTATTGAAAGTCATTCTTTTGTTTGATTACCACTGGTTCGGAAAAAACCTCTGTCCTGGGAAGAACCAGCAAGAAACCCAGCGGGACTTTTTTTTTTAAATAACAGCTTACAATCATGATGTTACACAAATTAACAACACAACAAATTAGAAATAGCTTGGTAGCGATCACCTCATTTCCAGGGGTTATTATCATCCATAAATTCCTTAATATTATAATAACCCTTTTTATACAAACTTAGTTTAATAAAGTTTTTGAACTTTGAACAGGCCAAACTTTGTATATTTTCTGGAATTTTGTTGTAAAAGCGTATACATCGCCCCAAGAATGAATTACTGACTCGATGGAGTCGAGTAACTGGTACTACTAGCTTGTGTCTGTTCCTAGTATTTACAGAATGAATATCACTTATTTTTATAAAACTACTTTTATTTTTGTGTACGTACATTAAATTTTCATAAATGTATTGAGAGGCCAAAGTTAATATATTAATTTCCTTAAATTTTTGTCGCAGCGACTCTTTAGGCTTTAAATCATAAATTGCTCTTATGACCCTCTTCTGCAAAACAAATATAATTTCAGTGTCAGCTGCGTGTCCCCATAGCAAAATACCATACGACATTATGCTATGGAAGTAGCTGAAGTAAACTAGTCTAGCTGTTTCAACACTGGTTAGACTTCTAATCTTTTTTACAGCATATGCTGCAGAACTAAGTCTGCTTGCTAGTTTTGATATATGGGGGCTCCATTGAAGCTTCGCGTCTAGTGTGATTCCAAGAAAAATGGTGGTATCTACAAGACTCAGTTTCTCCCCATTTAAAATTACATTAGTATTTAATTGTTTGACATTTGGAGTCACGAATTTCATACATTTTGTTTTAGTGCCATTTAAATGCAAATTATTAACATCGAACCAATTTACTAACTTAGATATAGCATTATTTACTTCGTCATATTTTAGTAACTGTCGACTTAATTTGAAAATTAAAGAAGTGTCATCTGCAAATAATACTATATCATGGTTATCCCCTACTATGTAAGGTAAGTCATTAATGTATACAAGAAACAGAAAGGGGCCGAGAATTGAGCCTTGAGGCATGCCCATTTGTACCATCGATCCGGAAGAGCTCATATTGTTAATGACAACTTTTTGCGTTCTCTTACTTAAATATGAAATAATTAATTTAAGGGCATCACTTCTTACACCGTAGTGTTGAAGTTTCCTGATTAATGTTTCATGGTGAACACAATCGAAGGCCTTGGATAGGTCACAAAATATACCCAAAGCATCCTGTGAATTCTCCCATGCATTAAAGATATATTTAATCAGCTCAACACCGGCATCAGTTGTCGAGCGACCCCTTGTGAAACCAAATTGATTTTTATGAAGTAAATTATTTATATTAAAAAAATTTAACATTTGATCAAGAACAATTTTTTCAAAAATCTTACTAAGTGTTGGTAGTATAGAAATAGGTCTAAAATTGGCGGGGTCTAATGTACTACCAGATTTAAATAAAGGTATTACTTTACTATGCTTCATTAAATCAGGAAACACACCAGATTCGATACTAGTATTAAAAATAATAGCTAAATGAGGCGCGATTGTATCTATTATAGACGCAATAACTTTAACGGAAATCCCCCACAGATCCGCAGTTTTCTTAACATCAATAGTTTTAAAATATTTTACAATATCTTTTGATGTCACTTTATGAAATGTAAAATTCTTTGTACACACATTTACATTATGTTTAAGTAATGATTCGGCGACGGCAGGAGAAGAATTTAGTGACTTAGTGGTCAAGATCGGAATATCAGTAAAATATTTCTCAAAAACCATTGCTACGTCCTGATCTGATACAGTTAATTTGTTGTTAACACTTAACTGGTAATTTGAATTGCGAGAGTTGATCTTACCAGTTTCGCTATTAATTATACTCCATGTCATTTTAATTTTATTGGAAGCCGTCTTAATTTTGTTGCTCAAATGCAAAGACTTGGCTATGGAGCACACTCTTTTAAATATTTTTGAATATTTTTTTACATATTCCCTAAATTCGACGCTATGATTATATGACCTTTCATGGTAAAGATCATATAACCTATGCCTGCTCTTATGGACTCCTACTGTCGCCCATTCATTGAATGACTTCCGACTGTTCAAGGAGAATGTTTTAGAAGTAAAAGTATTATTAAATTCATTGCAAATAAGCTTAAATAATGTTCCATACAAAATATTAGGATCATTTTGGTATGAAAGTGATGGAAGTTTTTTCACTATGTTACTTCTAAATTTCTCCAAGCGACGTGCATTTACTGGAACAGACACAACTTTCTCATCTATTTGCTTTTTGTGAACATAAGGTAACGAAACTACTTGTCCACAGTGATCAGAACTTAAAAAGGGCTAATTCAGGTTACACATATATACACTTCTCACACGCTACTTACATTCACTGCACTTAACGCCTGAACGAGCCTTGTCCTTTTTCGCTTCTGAACCAGGTAAGTCGCATTAAGTACCTAATCTATATATATTAAATATCCATAGGCATTTGAGCCCCACATTTAGTTGTCCGTCGAATCTACAGCTGTATGGGCCCCTGTATAGTCGACCTTAGTCTGGGCAACTAGGTGCGTGTACAGTATATATTCTTATATGCATTTAGTAAAAAGCTGTTATTTTGACATTACAAACATACACTTCAATTTTATTTACTTGTATAGACGTATAGATGAAGTGAGTGATGTAAGGTGGTTGTGTGGTGTGCAGGGTGTGCGTACGCGGACGAAACGCTGACGGCGGAGCAGGCGGTGCTGGCGGCGTACTGGCGCGGCCGCAGCATCGTGGACGCCGCGCTGCCGCCGGGCGCCATGGCGGCCGTGGGGCTCGGCTGGGACGCGGCCGCCGCGCGCTGCCCGCCCGACGTCGTGCCCGCCTGCCACAACGCGCCCGACAGCGTCACGGTACGTACACGTACACGTACACGTACACGTACTGGCGCGGCCGCAGCATCGTGGACGCCGCGCTGCCGCCGGGCGCCATGGCGGCCGTGGGGCTCGGCTGGGACGCGGCCGCCGCGCGCTGCCCGCCCGACGTCGTGCCCGCCTGCCACAACGCGCCCGACAGCGTCACGGTACGTACACGTACACGTACACGTACACGTACACGTACTGGCGCGGCCGCAGCATCGTGGACGCCGCGCTGCCGCCGGGCGCCATGGCGGCCGTGGGGCTCGGCTGGGACGCGGCCGCCGCGCGCTGCCCGCCCGACGTCGTGCCCGCCTGCCACAACGCGCCCGACAGCGTCACGGTACGTACACGTACACGTACACGTACTGGCGCGGCCGCAGCATCGTGGACGCCGCGCTGCCGCCGGGCGCCATGGCGGCCGTGGGGCTCGGCTGGGACGCGGCCGCCGCGCGCTGCCCGCCCGACGTCGTGCCCGCCTGCCACAACGCGCCCGACAGCGTCACGGTACGTACACGTACACGTACACGTACACGTACTGGCGCGGCCGCAGCATCGTGGACGCCGCGCTGCCGCCGGGCGCCATGGCGGCCGTGGGGCTCGGCTGGGACGCGGCCGCCGCGCGCTGCCCGCCCGACGTCGTGCCCGCCTGCCACAACGCGCCCGACAGCGTCACGGTACGTACACGTACACGTACACGTACACGTACACGTACTGGCGCGGCCGCAGCATCGTGGACGCCGCGCTGCCGCCGGGCGCCATGGCGGCCGTGGGGCTCGGCTGGGACGCGGCCGCCGCGCGCTGCCCGCCCGACGTCGTGCCCGCCTGCCACAACGCGCCCGACAGCGTCACGGTACGTACACGTACACGTACACGTACACGTACTGGCGCGGCCGCAGCATCGTGGACGCCGCGCTGCCGCCGGGCGCCATGGCGGCCGTGGGGCTCGGCTGGGACGCGGCCGCCGCGCGCTGCCCGCCCGACGTCGTGCCCGCCTGCCACAACGCGCCCGACAGCGTCACGGTACGTACACGTACACGTACACGTACTGGCGCGGCCGCAGCATCGTGGACGCCGCGCTGCCGCCGGGCGCCATGGCGGCCGTGGGGCTCGGCTGGGACGCGGCCGCCGCGCGCTGCCCGCCCGACGTCGTGCCCGCCTGCCACAACGCGCCCGACAGCGTCACGGTACGTACACGTACACGTACACGTACACGTACACGTACTGGCGCGGCCGCAGCATCGTGGACGCCGCGCTGCCGCCGGGCGCCATGGCGGCCGTGGGGCTCGGCTGGGACGCGGCCGCCGCGCGCTGCCCGCCCGACGTCGTGCCCGCCTGCCACAACGCGCCCGACAGCGTCACGGTACGTACACGTACACGTACACGTACACGTACACGTACTGGCGCGGCCGCAGCATCGTGGACGCCGCGCTGCCGCCGGGCGCCATGGCGGCCGTGGGGCTCGGCTGGGACGCGGCCGCCGCGCGCTGCCCGCCCGACGTCGTGCCCGCCTGCCACAACGCGCCCGACAGCGTCACGGTACGTACACGTACACGTACACGTACTGGCGCGGCCGCAGCATCGTGGACGCCGCGCTGCCGCCGGGCGCCATGGCGGCCGTGGGGCTCGGCTGGGACGCGGCCGCCGCGCGCTGCCCGCCCGACGTCGTGCCCGCCTGCCACAACGCGCCCGACAGCGTCACGGTACGTACACGTACACGTACACGTACACGTACTGGCGCGGCCGCAGCATCGTGGACGCCGCGCTGCCGCCGGGCGCCATGGCGGCCGTGGGGCTCGGCTGGGACGCGGCCGCCGCGCGCTGCCCGCCCGACGTCGTGCCCGCCTGCCACAACGCGCCCGACAGCGTCACGGTACGTACACGTACACGTACACGTACACGTACTGGCGCGGCCGCAGCATCGTGGACGCCGCGCTGCCGCCGGGCGCCATGGCGGCCGTGGGGCTCGGCTGGGACGCGGCCGCCGCGCGCTGCCCGCCCGACGTCGTGCCCGCCTGCCACAACGCGCCCGACAGCGTCACGGTACGTACACGTACACGTACACGTACACGTACTGGCGCGGCCGCAGCATCGTGGACGCCGCGCTGCCGCCGGGCGCCATGGCGGCCGTGGGGCTCGGCTGGGACGCGGCCGCCGCGCGCTGCCCGCCCGACGTCGTGCCCGCCTGCCACAACGCGCCCGACAGCGTCACGGTACGTACACGTACACGTACACGTACACGTACACGTACTGGCGCGGCCGCAGCATCGTGGACGCCGCGCTGCCGCCGGGCGCCATGGCGGCCGTGGGGCTCGGCTGGGACGCGGCCGCCGCGCGCTGCCCGCCCGACGTCGTGCCCGCCTGCCACAACGCGCCCGACAGCGTCACGGTACGTACACGTACACGTACACGTACACGTACACGTACTGGCGCGGCCGCAGCATCGTGGACGCCGCGCTGCCGCCGGGCGCCATGGCGGCCGTGGGGCTCGGCTGGGACGCGGCCGCCGCGCGCTGCCCGCCCGACGTCGTGCCCGCCTGCCACAACGCGCCCGACAGCGTCACGGTACGTACACGTACACGTACACGTACACGTACACGTACTGGCGCGGCCGCAGCATCGTGGACGCCGCGCTGCCGCCGGGCGCCATGGCGGCCGTGGGGCTCGGCTGGGACGCGGCCGCCGCGCGCTGCCCGCCCGACGTCGTGCCCGCCTGCCACAACGCGCCCGACAGCGTCACGGTACGTACACGTACACGTACACGTACACGTACTGGCGCGGCCGCAGCATCGTGGACGCCGCGCTGCCGCCGGGCGCCATGGCGGCCGTGGGGCTCGGCTGGGACGCGGCCGCCGCGCGCTGCCCGCCCGACGTCGTGCCCGCCTGCCACAACGCGCCCGACAGCGTCACGGTACGTACACGTACACGTACACGTACACGTACACGTACTGGCGCGGCCGCAGCATCGTGGACGCCGCGCTGCCGCCGGGCGCCATGGCGGCCGTGGGGCTCGGCTGGGACGCGGCCGCCGCGCGCTGCCCGCCCGACGTCGTGCCCGCCTGCCACAACGCGCCCGACAGCGTCACGGTACGTACACGTACACGTACACGTACACGTACACGTACTGGCGCGGCCGCAGCATCGTGGACGCCGCGCTGCCGCCGGACGCCGATTCCCATGTATATGTTACTGCTTCAATATATCCTTATGCCAATTATAAAAGCAAAGCGGTATTACTAATGTATAGCTTCAGATCTTGCTTTGTCCACCTACTGAAACCGTTTAAAAAAATATGTTTAATAGTAGAAAATGGTGGCAATAATAGTTGTATTTAAATTTTCTAACAATAAAGCAATTACTGTTCTGTCGGACAGGTATCGGGTCCGGTGGAGTCCGTGGAGAAGTTCGTGGCGGAGTTAAGCGCGGAGGGCATATTCGCACGGCGCGTGAACAGTTCGGGCGTGGCGTTCCACAGCAAGTACATCGCGTCCGCCGCGCCGCTGCTGCGCCGCAGCCTCGAGCGCGTCATCCCGCACCCCAAACCGCGCTCGCATCGCTGGATATCGTCTTCGCTGCCTAAGGACCAGTGGGATTCCGACATCGGTGAGTGCGTTATACTCGGCTTACCTTCAATCGTGTTAAAGAGAAAGGGTGTGTGTTTCTTAACAGATGTGATAACTGAAGTGTATATGGTTTTATTTATGGATATTTTCAATTTAAAATGTTGAAATGATTTTGCGTGACTACGTCTTTAAATTTGCTTTCGTAGTGGAAGGCAAATAGAAAAGTGTAGATAACAAAATCGGAGGATACAGTTTGGTGTTGCAGTTAGATAGCTGTCATCTACATCTAAAATTTAATTTGACCAAACGGAAACTAAAGGGTCAAAGAATTTGTTGAGTAAGGACGTCATTTTGAGGTTGTTTTGTTTTTTATATATTCGCGACAGACACATCCCGTTTTTAAGTGATAACTCTTTTAGAATCGTTATGATTTGAAACTCAATGAAACGAAAATCTGATACTTAAAAGAGACAAACATATACATCTATAGGATTTAATTTACGAAAGAATAGGAAACAATACAGTATTCAATGTTTATTACAAATTTTTATATATTTTAATTACATAAACGTTATAAGTATCTAACTCCTTATATTTTGCATTCCTTTCATTTTTTCGTAAGTTTCACTTCTACCGCGTGTGAACTGCGCTCATGTTTTTTTGAGAAATTGATATAAGAAGGCTAGAATATGGTGTTGTTCTATTGTAGGCGTGTGGTGGCGGTGTAAGAATATATTACCTCGTATTATGCTATGAGTGTCGTAAGAGGCGACAGAGAGAAACAAATTATGAGATGGGCAGCGGCATCTTCTTGATAATGAACAAAAAATAAAAAGCTGTGATTGCCAAACGTGGTAACTACGGCTAATATTGCTCAATCTATGGGATAGGCCCGTGTTCAGCGGTTGAGTTTAGAGTGTAACGGTAACGGTATTGGTACAACGGTTATTGCAGCAAAGCTAAGCTCCGCGGCGTACCACGTGAACAACCTGCTGTCGCCGGTGCGGTTCGCGGAGGCGCTGGGGTCGGTGCCGGCGCGCGCGCTGGTGCTGGAGCTGGCGCCGCACGCGCTGCTGCAGGCCGTGCTGAAGCGCGCGCTGCCGGCGCCGGGCGCGGCGCACGTGGCGCTGCTGCGGCGCGACGCGCGCTGCGCGCTGCGCCAGCTGCTGGCCGCGCTGGGCCGCGCCTACGCCGCCGGCGCGCAGCCGCGCCCCGCCGCGCTGTACGCGGCCGCGCGCTGGCCCGTGGCGCGCGGCACGCCGCGCCTGGCGCCGCACGTGCTGTGGGACCATGCCGCCGACTGGAGCGTGGCGCACTTCGGCGCCGCCGCGCGCTCCGGCGAGTGCGTGCTCGAGTGCGACCTGGCGCGCCCCGAGGACGAGTTCGTCGCCGGACACAACATCGACGGCCGCGTGCTCTTCCCCGCCACCGGCTACCTGGTCAGTGTCCGCTGTGGCGCGCACCTTCGCACCCAAACATCTTTATTAAAACATTCCCTACGTACCAAACATACGCCGTTTCAACGTATATTTAAAAATACAAAAGGTAGAAAAGTAAATTTAAAATCTTAAAAAAGACAATATAATTATTGATCACTTTACTCACAAATATGTTAAAAGAAATAAAAAGTTTTTTTTATTTGAGATTAAGTATCTTAAGGCGCATGGTTGAGCAAAATGTCGCGCTAGTCGTTATTTGTGCAGTTTTTAGGAGCTATCTACTTTTTATTAAAAAAATATATCAACTAATAAAAAAGACATTATATTTCTACATAATCTTGATTCCATAAGAGTCATATCCAATTTTTTCAAAAGGAATAAATATTAAAATAATCTCCTCACAACGAAACCATATAAATGTGAAATAATTATTGATAACTTCCATCTCCTCGTAAAGTAAGCATTATTTTATTTTGCGATTGACACTAATGGATAGGCAATTTATTAATGAACATTTCTATCATATTTTTTTTTCAAAAGACCAAAATTTGATTTTATTAAGAAATTATTTTAAAAACTGTGCGTATTCACTGCCCATAGATGAAACCCGTGTCGTTTGTCACGGTGTCGGCCAGCGCACATGCTCACGTCATCTTATCAGTCGATAATATTATTATTACTTATTAGGTTATTTATAGGTAGTATTATTTGTTTCTTTTAGGTATAATTTTTCGTATTAGTTATACATATATTTGTTATGTTTTTTACTGAGCAATGAAGCTTTTTGCGTGTATTTTCTTTGAAGTAAATGCAAATATAAAAATTAAGCACCATTAACATGTAAGGTTTGAATCCGTAATTAACATTTCGACAAATATTATAATTTACACTATAAAAAGCTAATTCAGTATTATCAGTATAGTATACAGTTAAAAATAATCCTAATACCTAACCACTATATCTTAGTAGGTATAGTAATTCGGTAAAAAGTTTCTAAGTAGGTATTAATATACCTACCCAGTATAACTAATCACAATAGGTACCTATATAGGTATTATAATTAGATAAAAGGTACTTATCTAAATAGTTACCTACTTTTACTAAGTAAGAACTAATACCTACCCGGGCATCATTTAATTACAACCCAAAAACCCCTATAAACTAAAATTTTTTAAAACTAAATTTAACTAAAAAAATCTAAACTGACCATTTATTTTTTTAACTCACAACAGAACATAGGTTTATTTATACTCTAAAAACTATAACTTTATACAATTAGTGTTCACTATAAAATTGTATTCGGTATATACGGTAATTATTAAATGCAACATATTTTTTTTAAATTATTAATTACATTTATCAGTGGATTAAATTTGCTTTAATAAAGTTGATGATGATTTTAAATAAGAATAAAATTCTGGGCAAGTTTTTTTATTGTTACCTTTGTTATCAACATCGCCTTTAGAACTGGAACCGTGTTTTTTTCAGACGTCCACAATTTATTCAAAATAGAAAAATACTCTTTCTACTGGAGCATTTTTACCAGGTAGACATAAAATATATTCGATAAAAAAATTATGTTGAAGATTGTTGATTTTGAATACTTCCATCCAACAAGTTACTGGACAATTTTGTGTCCCGGAGCTTAGTTTGGGGACAATGTGACAGATGACCGAGAAAAGGGACAGACCCGTTCAAAACGGGACGTATGGTCACTTTACCTATTACCCGGCGACGGCTTCGTAGCGCAGCGGCTTAGCAATCAGTTGATGCGCTGGTGGCCACGGGTTCGAATCTCGCACGGAACAGGTATTTGTATGGCCTACAAATAATTGTTCCGGGTCTGGATGTTTGTCCTTGTGCAATTTATGTTTGTAAACTGCCTCCACGACACAGGAGAAAATCCTAGTGTGGGGGTAACCTTTTTTTTTAAATTGAAAGATTGAACCCTTATACTTCTTGTTGATTTTTGTATTACCTTTATTAAAGTTACCCTTATGTATGAATAAATATAATTACATATGTAGAAATAAAATTGAATAAAAATAAAAACAAACATTTTTTTTCATCCTCATCAATCATTGGGGTGAGGATAATGTCAGCGAGCATAAGTAATAAGCAGGCTAAGTTACAAGGTGCTCAGTTCAAAAATTAGTAGGTAGGTATGTTACTTATCAATACTTGACACGTAAAAATTAAAAATAATCAAAAACACATCTGCGAAACATCCTATTTATTTATTTATTCTTTATTGCACCAAATATTTTTACAAAAGGCTAGCCATCTATATATTTACCTATAGTGAGCCGGTATCTTTTAAACTCACAATTTTCAATGCATCGTTTTTAATATATAATTAATTATAAAATTTCATAATTAGATAATATATGAGAATACATAATTCTAATATAATGCAACTAATATACCGAATAAAAAAATTTAAATTCATTTATCGTTGTACGCCGTGTGTATTTTCATAAAATAGTTTACTGATGTTGAAAAAATAATACTACGTTCGTACAGTAGGTGGCGTCTTGCATATTTCTTACGCGATATATTGTAGCGAATCGGCGCGGCGGACTAAATGCTCAAGGTCGTTCGCATGGAGTAGCCCCTTAAATTATCTTCAGAATAATAATAACGTCAGTACTGATTATATATATATATTCCTTATTGCAGACTCTCGTGTGGAAAACGATGGCTAAAATAAATAATCGAAAATTAGAAGAAACCCCGATTATACTAGAAAACGTTCAATTTAAGCGAGCCACAATCGTATCTCGCGACGCTCCCGTGCGCTTCCTCATCAATATTCTGGACGGCAGCGGCCAATTCGACGTGTGCGAGGGCGGCGCCGTCGTCGTCACGGGCAACGTGCGCCTGGTCGAGGACCCCGCCGCCGAGCGCTTGACGCTGCCTCCGCACGTCGACACCGCGGAGCCGGACCAGTTGCCGCTCGTCACCGACGACATATACAAGGAGCTGCGACTCCGCGGGTACAACTACGGCGGCGTATTCCGCGGCATCCGCACTTCGGACGCGCGTGGCACCGCCGGCACGCTGGCCTGGGACGGCAACTGGATCTCGTTCATGGACACCATGCTGCAGTTCGGCATCATCGGCGTGGACACACGCGAGCTGTATCTGCCCACGCGGCTGCAGCGCGCGCTTATCGACCCCACGGCGCAGCCGGCGGCCGACGGCGAGGCGACGGTGCCGGTGCGGATGCTGCGCGACATCGACGTGATCTCGGCGGGCGGCGTCGAGCTGCGCGGCGTCAAGACCAGCCTCGCGCCGCGCCGCGCCAACCCGCAGCCGCCGCCCAAGCTGGAGAAGTACGTGTTCGTGCCGTACGAGGCGGCGGGGGGCGCGGGGGGCGCGGGGGGCCCGAGCGCGGGCGGCGAGGACGCGGCGCGCGCGCGGCGCGACGCGCTCACGGCGTGCCTGCAGCTGGTGCTGGAGAACGCGGGCGCGCTGCGGCTGCGCGGCGCGGAGGCGGCGCTGGGCCGGCCGGCCGACGCGCTGCTGCTGCCGCACGTGCTGCCGCTGCTGCTGGCCGAGCCGCAGGCGCGCCTGGACGCCAGCCTGGCCGCCGGCGCGCACCACGCGCTCTACACCTCCGCCATGGAGCCCTTGGCCGTTAAAGTGAGCACCACATATAATATTATTTTTATGCAGTGTAAGTCATTACCACAGACTAGATGATAGCAGGCCTGTCTCACTCCGCGCAGCATGAAAATATACCTGCGCTGCGCGGCCGTCTCATAAGAGATTAATTCAGAGGTTGTCACTAGCGCGCTCGAGCTAACGTGCGCCTTATGTTAACCAAAAAAAATATTTTTCTCTTATATGTAGGTACTTTTGACATTTATGCTATTGACTGCTTACTAATACAAAATCAGCATACACTGGAATGCAGTTAAACACTTTGTCGATAAAAGAAAGAGATTGAAAATAACAGCACTTCTCATTGCTACTATTTCATTAATAATACTGACGGCATGTTTGTAAATAGCAAAAATTGTGAAACAGAAAATAGTAAGTAGATAAATCAACCATTAACAAGTACCATAATTTGCCGCTAGATGGGTCTGTTTAAGATATCGAGTCTAAAATTGATTTTTTAATTTCAATTCTTCATTTATACTAGTATTATTTATACAATATATTTTTTAGGCTAAATAAGAGGATATGCACTGTTTTAGTAATAAAATATGATAATTTCATATTTATCAGAAACTGTATGAAAGACATCATTGTATTGTCAAATTGTTAAAAAAGAAAACATCAAACTCATTGCTTTTATTCGAATGTGGTTTTATTTTTTATAACTTTCTTATTATAAGTTTAGTGGTATTTACTATCGTTTTTTGAATTATCCAAAACATTATAGAATCTGGAAAACGTAGTAAATTTATTTTCTAAAAGAGAGAAGAGTACTCGTGTTCATTGCACTTCTATTAATAATTATTTTATCCCTTGAATATTTTAGTATTTAGCGCCCACTGGCAATTTATTATAATAATAACACGTTATACTCGTAACCTAATAGTTGATGTAGTTTGCTTGAAATTAAATGTCAAATAAAGTTATGGAACCGATAAACGGCACATATAAGTGTATAAGTGGCCACTTAAATTAAACTTGGCTTAAACGGAGTTTATCTTACATTGCGATGTTCGGAAACGCACTTTCACAAGTTATCGAACCAATAGCGCTAACGAATAGATAAACTGCCGATAAAAGTACCTCAGAAACCGAGCATTAATAGTCTATAACAGCAATGTGGCAAGTCGACAACAAAGAAGCGGCCACTCGAAAAAAGCCGGATTGGTCTGTCCGTAGAAGAAAGAGCGAAGAGACAACCAACCTTGCACAATGACTGACTGAAGTACAGTGCAATTACATCAAAGTCCGCAATCAGAATTTACACGCTGACCCTAACTATTTACCTTTTATGTCGCAATAGCTATCGAGACAGTTCACGATCGGTCATCAACCACGCTGCGTGTGCTGATATTATTAACCATTACTCATAATATTTCCAATAAATTTAATATATACTTCTCAAAACAAAATAAGGGCCATCCGAGTATTTTTGGATAGAGACCATTTTTGCTGACTTCTCTAGATAATGATTTTTATGAATGCCACTATATTCTCAAGTGTTGAGACGTAACGATAAGTGAAGTACTAGACTATATTAGTCTTGAGGGTATGGTAAACAATTTTTATGTCTCACTTATCGTGAAGTGGACAGTTTTGTTTATATTTAATTTGATTTCTTTTAACACAAGTCTACTGACTGCCACGGTTGGTTTTGAAAGTTAAACGTGAAATTTGATCGTTTAACCTTAAAATGCCAAGAAGCCTAGACTATTTGGACAATGCTTCAGCTATCAGAACCGTAACGATGATCAAGGGTGGTCAGTCGCAACATTCCATGGCTTTAAAATTGGGTGCGATATTCGCGAAGGGCTATTCAAAACCTGTGAAACCGGTATCAAGAGACCGGGGGTGTATTCCTGCGTCGTGGCTCGGGAAGAATTCGTGCTACCACCGCGCAGGAAAACCGGTACGAACGACTTACTGCGTGTCGTGATCGTATTGTGACAGCGCGTGCATGACAGAACCAACGCCGGACTAATAAGTAGTAGTGACGATCGACGTATGCGAGTGTGCATAAGAAGCGGAGAAAGATTTTCTGATCCTTGTACTCACGAACGCGACAGGTTTGGTAATCCCAACTGAGCTTGGGCGGGATCAGCTTAAAAGGTAAAACTGACTTTGTTTTTCGAAATGAGGGTAATGTGACTTATCAGAGTTACATCTAACCCTTTTTCACAACGAGCGGTGCACGGTTTTGATCTTCATGCAGGATAATGCACGACCGCACACAGTCCTAGCCACCATCTCTGTATTGGAAGAAGCCAATATTCAGGTTTTGGCATGGCCTGCTAACAGCCCTGACATTAATCCAATTGAACACCTTTGGGACCAATTCGTGAGGTTCGGTCGAACCTCAATTTTTCAAAAAATTACAGGAGAGCATTTCTAACATTTATTGTTCTCCGATTACTAGCTTTTTTCATCAGAAAATCAATCTTATTTGCATTTTTTCATAAGTCTACGATGAATTAAAACTAGTCGAGTGTCGGTATCTGAAGCATGTTAACAACCAGTAATAGTTGATTCAATAACGGGAAGAGATCCCAGAGGAAAATATTTGTCATCTTATTGAGAGCATGCTACATGAATGTGTTTTTAAAAGAGGAGGACATACCCGATATTATTTACAGTAAAAGTAAACAACATAGCTGTATATTTAGTCTACAGTTTAATTCTAATGTTAGGTGTAAACAGCCTTAAAAAGTGAAAAATAAACCAAAATAACCAATAGATTAAGTTTTTTTTTTACTTTATTGCATTAATTTTTATTAAATTTAACTAAAAAAAATATTGTTTCACTGAAATTTAAAACAACTCGAGCACATATTCCAGATTAAAAATAAGTAAATCGGAAAATTTGTGGTATTTTCGGTATTTTGTTTTGAGTACTATATTATCCTTGTATAATTTCCTTTCGTGTTTTATCATTTTCATCACTCAATTTATTACTCCCGACATATTTGGTCCTTCGAGCCGGATATAAACCAGCGGCCTATGGATTATCATACTTAAGTTATTTATATTATGTTTATATGACGATATTTACAAGAATTTTGCTAAGTTATATAAAAAATTGTTTAATATACTTTATCATTTAGATTATAAAAAAAATAAAGAGGCAATTAGATTTTTCTGTTGGTATTTTAACTGATTTATCATTAATATAAACCTGCTTTCGGCAGCTCACCGATGTACATAGGGCCTCTCCTAAGCTGCGACACATAGCTGAGGTCTAATTTCGTGAATTTAACTTACGAAACGTGGTCAGGTGACGAACAAGGACGCGACGAGCGCGCCGCCGGACAGCGAGTGTCATCTGGTGATGGCGGCGGACGCGCTGGCTCTGGGCGCGCCCGTGCTGACGCATCTGGCGGAGGCGCTGGCGCCCGCCGGCATGCTGCTGCTGGAGGAGCCCCGCGCCGCGCTCGACACGCCCGCCGCCGCCGCCGCGCTCGCCGCGGCCGGCTTGGAACTCGTAGCCCGCCAGCGCGCCGACCTCCGCGAATACCTGCTGCTGCACCGCCGCCCCAGCGTGCCCGAGGCGCACGTCGTCGTCGAGATCGACGAGTCGTCGTCGTACAGCTGGCTGGAGCCGCTGCGCGCGGCGCTGGCGCGTGCCGAGAGCGAGGAGATGCGCGTGTACGCGTGGTCGCGCGCGCCCGCCGCCGGCCTGCTGGGCCTGGGCACGTGCCTGCGCGCCGAGCCCGGCGGCCGCGCGCTGCGCCTGTACTTCCTGCCCGGCGCACGCGAGCCCTTCGCGCCCCACGCGCCCGCCTACGCGCCCCAGGTGCGCAGGGACCTGGCCTTCAACGTGCTGCGCGCAGGCGTCTGGGGCTCCTACAGGCACCTGCTGCTGCCCGACTCCAGCGACGTTCAGCTGCAGGTTGCTGTTTTATTTCAAAAATTATATATATTTGCATTATTAACCATAAAAAAAGAAACACACACCTGTCACCCAGAAGGGTAGGCAAAGACTACGGACTTCTATTTGGCACGATTCAACACTCTTCGCTCGCCTCCTGCATATACCTGCACGTACATGCTCGTCAGTTAAGAGTATTCTTAATCTGAAAATTTGGAAAAAGCAACTTTTGGGAAAATGCTGCTGTCTACAATAGCTCACATTGTTAGTGTAATACGAGTATAATATTATACAAATTGTAATTGTCTCCAAGTCACTTCGCTATTTGCGTATTTTATCTATTTAACCACAAGTAACAATATGTATGACTTGTTCGGCTCACTTGATCGTATGAAAAAACAAACACTTTCTGCAAGCTAAATCCGCAAATAGATGGTAACATCTATTTGACACAATTGATAAAACACGTGTTCATTTGAATGGCAGGTGGAGCACGCGTACGTGAACACGCTGACGCGCGGCGACCTGTCCTCGCTGCGCTGGATCGAGAGCCCGCTGCGGCTGGCCGCCGACACTCCGACGCCGGGCCGCCAGCTGTGCCGCGTACACTACGCGCCGCTCAACTTCCGCGACATCATGCTGGCCACCGGCAAGCTGCCGCCCGACGCGCTGCCAGGCAACCTCGCCGGACAGGTACGTCACTCAGTGCCGCGTGCACTACGTCACAGTGCGCCGCGTGCACTACGTCACAGTGCGCCGCGTGCACTACGTCACACAGTGCCGCGTGCACTACGTCACACAGTACCGCGTGCACTACGTCACACTGCGCCGCGTGCCTTACGTCACACTGCGCCGCGTGCACTACGTCACACAGTGCCGCGTGCACTACGTCACACTGCGCCGCGTGCACTACGTCACACTGCGCCGCGTGCACTACGTCACTCAGTGCCGCGTGCACTACGTCACACTGCGCCGCGTGCACTACGTCACACTGCGCCGCGTGCACTACGTCACACTGCGCCGCGTGCACTACGTCACACTGCGCCGCGTGCACTACGTCACACAGTGCCGCGTGCACTACGTCACACTACGCCGCGTGCACTACGTCACACAGTGCCGCGTGCACTACGTCACACAGTGCCGCGTGCACTACGTCACACTGTGCCGCGTGCACTACGTCACACTGTGCCGCGTGCACTACATCGCAGTGCGCCGCGTGCACTACGTCACACAGTGCCGCGCGCACTACGTCACACAGTGCCGCGCGCACTACGTCACACTGTGCCACTGTGAAATATGTTGCAGTCCTCACTCTACGTAACAAATTCTTTGTTTCTTTAGTTATCTATCGAGTGGTGTTGTTAAAGAACATCGGTCACGGCATGCTGTGACCTGGTTATAAAATATCGCGAACATGACTAGTGTATGGATTAATCCGTTCCCCCTGGGCACAATCCAAACCCTAAATCGAAAATATATTACTTAAATGCCGAGGATCATAGAACGTTACACTTATGTATTTCGTCATGACGTAGCTGGTTATTATGTAGCCATGACTACAACCTCTGCTAAAACAATTGATATGAAAACTATGTAATATATATTTAATTAACTAAGTCAAATCAATGGCTAAAATCACAAAAATGAATCAACAACCTTTCTAATGTTCTTCTTCTTTTCCTTTTTGTGGCGGTTTGGTAAAATTCGCCAATAAACCTTTCTAATCTTTTCTATATTTACTCTCAAACTATCATTTGCAACTTATTTCCGAACACTTTCCATAACCCCATCTAAAAATGATATTATGGATATTACACTACAAAAATAAATAAAAAATCTGCAATTAAATCTAGTATTTAAAAAAGTAAATTTTAGATGGGTCTTGTATTTATAATTTACTCGCTTACATTTAAACTGTAATTATGTAAAAACCTGTTTGTATATTATTAATATTGCGGATTTCAGATTACAAACACACTCGAGTATCCAACACAAATGAGCACAAGAAAAATGTTTAATAGGCATACTGCTCCCTATCTAAACAGAAAGCAGCTTAACTAATAAGTGTAAAACTATTTCCGTTTTTGTGTGGTGTTGAACAGGAGTGCATCCTGGGGCTGGAGTTCAGCGGCGTGTCCGCTGACGGCAAGCGCGTGATGGGCATGGTGGCGGCGCGCGGGCTGGCCACGTCGGTGCTGGCCGACGACGACTTCCTGTGGGAGGTGCCGGCGCACTGGACGCTGGAGCAGGCGGCCACCGTGCCCGTGGCGTACGCCACCGCGTACTACGCGCTCAGCGTGCGCGGCCGCATGCGGCGCGGCGAGGCCGTGCTGGTGCACGCGGGCTCGGGCGGCGTGGGGCAGGCCGCCATCGCGCTGGCGCTGCACGCCGGCTGCCACGTCTACACCACCGTGGGCTCGCCCGAGAAGCGCGCCTTCCTGCGCGAGCGCTTCCCGCAGCTGCCCGACGAGAACATCGGCAACTCGCGCGACACGTCCTTCGAGCAGCTGGTGCTGCGCCGCACGCGCGGCCGTGGCGTCGACCTGGTGCTCAACTCGCTGGCCGCCGACAAGCTGCTCGCCTCCGTGCGCTGCCTCGCCAACGGCGGCCGCTTCCTCGAGATCGGCAAGCTCGACCTCTCCAACAACACTCCTCTGGTGAGTTTGTCGTTATACGACACTTGCGTCGTCGTTATCTCAACCTGTCGCAATATATCCTTATATTATAACTTCACTAAATGCACTTGTGAACATAGGACTCTCCCATAAATTGCCTCGTCGTACAGATGATAATTGCCACGCTTGGTTACTGGGATCTTTTGTTTTAGTTTCCCTTTTTTTCCTATTACGACACAGGACAATAAAGGCTGTGAATTTGCTCAACGAGCTATAGAGAGGACTATGCCTAGCGTTTCTCTGCGTGATAAATTCAGAAATGAGAGTATAGGCAATAGAACCAGAGTAACCAACATAGCCCAAGGGATTAGTAAACGAAAGTGGTAATGGGCCGGCCATATAGTTTAAAGAACCGTCAACGGATGGGAAAGAAGGGTTCTCGAGTGGCACCCTTGTACAGGTAGACGAAGTTTAGGGCGACCCTCCACTAGGTAGAGTAATGATCTGGTATGTTAATGGATACAGGTGGTTCAAGATTGTGCTTTGCGGCATTCCTTGGGGGAGGCCTATGTTCAGTAATTATGATTTTATTTCGGCGAATACATTATTTCAATTTATTTTATATATCAGTATATTTATGCTTTTGTGCTTTTACCCCTTATTTTCGTTTTAACGTTAAACACTAGTCGCTAGTTATAGCACCCATTCGACTAACTAAAATATAAGTAGTTACCCATATATGTTGCTCGTTTGCGGACAATATTAATATTATAACGGTGTTTGTTATTTCGTGGTGCAGGGCATGGCGATATTCCTGAAGAACACGACGTTCCACGGCATCCTGCTCGATGCATTGTTCGAGGCCGAGGCGGGAGCGGGAGCGGAGGCGGAGAGCGAGCGAGCGGCCGTCGTGCGCTGCGTGGCGGAGGGGCTGGCCAGCGGCGCCGTGCGCCCGTTGCCCAGCACCGTGTTCTCCGACCATCAGCTCGAGCAGGCCTTCCGGTACCACACACCACAGCTACACTTTATCTCCGGTACCACACACCACAGCTTCACTTTATCTCCGGTACCACACACCACAGCTTCACTTTATCTCCGGTACCACACACCACAGCTTCACTTTACCTCCGGTACCACACACCACAGCTTCACTTTACCTCCGGTACCATACACCTTTCTGGCTTCATTTAACGCAGAGCGAGCGTGTGGCCGTGGTCTTATCAATGACACTGTTAAGAATAGCATTTCCCATAGTCTCTGGTGTGGAAAAATTAAGAATTGAAATTCCACATTAGCGTACGAAAAGAATACCCATAAATTATTAAGATATGATACATTTAATATGCAGGAAGTTGTAATAAGTAACCCACTTACAGGTACATGGCCACGGGCAAACACATCGGCAAAGTGCTGCTTCGCGTACGCGACGAGGAGCCCGGCCCCGCCCCCAAGCTAGTGTCGGCGGTGCCGCGCACCTACTTCCATCCCGAAAAATGCTATGTGCTCATCGGTGAGTGGAACTGATTTACAATATACTGCTATATTATCAATAAAAAAAAAGTTATGAATAGTTACGAATGTTACGACAGCCAGTGTATTTGCACGATTTTATATTGCGAACATTCTCGAGCTTCATGTTGCACAAGAATGTTGGGACGGAGTGAGTCGTTGTTTGCTCAGGCGGAGGTAGCGGCCCCCGTGCTACCCCACACCTGTCTCTCCATACGTGTCGCGCTCCTGCCGAGGCGTTGACAGTGGGTAATGTAAGCGTTGTGTTGCAGGTGGGTTGGGCGGGTTCGGGCTGGAGCTGGCGGAGTGGCTGGTGGTGCGCGGCGCCACGTGCCTGCTGTTTAACTCGCGCAGCGGCGTGCGCACCGGCTACCAGGCCTGGTGCATCCGCCGGTATCACTGCTCATTCTATCCTCCTCACTTTTATAGCAGGATAAGGATGCATCCTTTTTTTAAACTATGGGAATATTTCCTTGTTTCGTACTTGTGTAGTAATTTTTGATCGATAAGAATGTGCGGATAGTCCATCTGATAGTAATGGGATGCTGAGGCGGACTTATCTCAATGAAGAATTAAAATATGGATACGTTGTCAATCCTATTAGGATAAAATGGACTAAAAGACTAGGATAAAATGTCTCGTTATCAGTAAAAGAAGGTTATCAAGCAGTGTTAGGCTTTTATTTTCGTTGGTATTTTGTAAAAATGTGATCTTTATGCAATCATATCGACTCATTCGTGCTGCAATGAGAGATCTGCAGCGTGGTTTTACCACGTTAGTCTGTTTTGTAACTCGTTTTTATTGAGTTGACCTGCACGAATGTATGTCGTTAGGAGTTTTATAACGTAGTTTTGAGGCATGTACCGCTGTGTTGTAACGAGTGAGTGAACGGTCGGGGGCGCGGCAGGTGGCGCGCGCGCGGCGTGCGCGTGGCGCTGAGCGGCGCGGACGCGGCCACGGCGAGCGGGGCCCGGGCGCTGCTGCAGCAGGCGGCGGCGCTGGCGCCCGTGGCCGGCCTGTTCCAGCTGGCCGCCGTGCTGCGCGACGCCTTCCTCGCCAGCCAGACGCCCGACGACTTCCGCGCCGTCGCCCGCCCCAAGATCGACGGTACCGCCGCCGCACCACCCTCACCTCCTCACCTCCTCACCTCCTCACCTCCTCACCTCCTGCACGACAACTGAGCCTCTACACTTACACTGCGTTACGCTACTAATACTTCGTTTCAAACTACTGCACCATTAAAAACATCATCATTGCTGTACTCGTCCACTACTTCATTTACTTAACTTTATCTGTTTAAAATATCATGCACTTTATCACACTGTCACAATACACGTACAAACAAAGTAGTCACTTCTAAATTTTTTACACCAAGTTGAGCAATAAATTTTCGGAATAGGACTCTTATCAAAGAGTTATAGAAATGCGTTTTATTATATATATATATATATATATAATCTTAAATTCGTTAGTAGACAAGGCAAAAAAAACTATATGAAAAACTATACCCAATTTTTTTTCAATTGCCGAGAATTTGATTCATATTCAAAAAGCAGAAACCCGAACTTCGCATGATTATTAAATAATTCTGCATGAACTTTTTTTCTACAAAAAGTGTTTTGAAGAACTGCAGTCTACTCTGGCAAACAATAGTCCGTCTCATTCTAAAGTGGCATACTGGTGAAAGAATTTAAACGCGGCAAAACGGGCTGCCATGACAACACTCGCTCCGGGTGGCTAACAATGGCAGCTTCATAAGAAAACGTTTAAAAAGATCAAAAAAATAGTTAAGATAGATAGATGTGTGACCATCCGTTATTTAGCTGAGATTCTAAAGCTTTCGTTTGGGACTTTAACTCATACCTTAAAATTCAAAAAGGTAACCGCGCGCAAGGTTTATCGAATATTAACATATGTCCAAAAGAAAGCAAGACTTGAAATTTCAAAACTAAATTTAGCAACAATTGAAGAAGATCCAAATTCTTTTTGCGCTCGTTGCGTGACCGTAGATAAAACCTGAGTGCACCATTTTGACCCTGACACGAACAACCAAAGCAAGGCATGGAAAAAACCATCTTCCCCACCATTAATTGCCTAGAAAAATAATGACCTCTCTCTTCTGGGATGCGGAAGGTATAATAATGATCGACTATTTCAATAAAGAAAAGACTGACCAGAGATTATTACGCATCAATAGTCAATAAACTACACGAAGAATTAAAGAATAAACGTCGAGGAAAATTACATGCTGTATTGCTTTTTCATCATAACCCAGCCCGTCGATCTCATGTTACAGGCGCTGCCATCCAAACTGCTGGATTTCAGTTGATGTAGCATCTACTATATTCACCGGACCTAGCTTCGACTCATTCTCACCTTTTTACTCACCTGAAAAAGCACTTGCGTTACTAAGTATATTTATAACAAAAGACAGAATACCCACTGTCTCCTTCAAAGACAGAATTACAGGGATTAAAAAACCAAGTTGTATAAATCCGCATACTATCTATTCAAAATATGAAGATCGAGAGACTAGCCAGCTTTCGCCTGTGTGTGAAGTATGGTACATACAAAATAATGAACACCTCTCTTCTCACACCTCCATATGTAGTCTATAGTTGATATTTAATTCATATTTGGTAGCACTTCAACACTTCGATATACCGACAGTCAACTTGGCACCGCTGAAGGGACTGCAGCACCGCCCAAATTTCGACGGAATCAAAGGCTTTCTCATAGTCCACATACGCCAGACATAGTGGCAAATTGTACTCTTCGGACTTCTGTACAACTTGCCGAAGGGTATGTATGTGGTCTATGGTGCTAAAGCCCTTTCGGAAACCGGCTTGGAAGACGTTTTCAAGCTTCTGGACTGGAAAGGATACGGTATCAACATCAATGGCGAGTACATCACTCACCTTCGATTTGCCGACGATATAGTCCTTATGGCAGAATCGCTGGAGGACCTAAGCACTATGCTCAATGACCTCAATAGTGTTTCCCAACGGATAGGTCTTAAGATGAACATGGACAAAACTAAGATCATGTTTAATGTCCATGTCACACCTATGCCGGTAGTTGTTGGGAACACTAAGCTCGAAGTTGTTGACGAGTATGTTTACCTGGGACAAATAGTCCGACTGGGTAAGTCCAACTTCGACCGAGAGGTCAATCGACGGATTCAACTCGGCTGGGCAGCGTTCGGGAAGCTACGACACATCTTCTCGTCAGACATACCTCAAAACCTTAAAACGAAATTGTACAACCAGTGCGTGTTGCCAGTGATGACTTACGGAACTGAGACGTGGTCCTTCACTGCTGGCCGTATGAGGAAGCTCAAGGTCGCTCAGCGAGCTATGGAGAGGGCTATGCTCGGAGTTTCTCTGCGTGATAAACTTAGGAATGAGGATATCCGCAGTAGAACCAGAGTGACCGACATAGCCCAACGGATTAGTAAGCTGAAGTGGCAGTGGGCCGGCCATATAGCTCGAAGAACCGACAACCGATGGGGAAGAAAGGTTCTCGAGTGGCAGCCTCGTACCGGCAGGCGAAGTGTAGGGCGTCACCCCACGAGATGGAGTGACGACCTGGTAAGACATGCAGGAAGTCGATGGATGCAGGTGGCTCAGGACCGTGTTTTGTGGCATTCTTTGGGGGAGGCCTATGTTCAGCAGTGGACTTGTGAAGGGCTGTAATGATGATGATGATGATGATGGTAGCCGAACTCTACATCTGACCAACCTGTATTTAGTGAAATAATTGCTCTCTTTCATTAGAATTTCCATTGTTCTTGCAGGCTGAGCTTTAGACTACATGAACCGCCTCAAGTTAAACAAGATTTAAACTGATACTGATTCCATATTCTAAAGATATGCTTTTAAAAGTTGGACATTTTTTTAAGACGAACCGAAACCGAAATACGTATATTTACGTTTGTGTCCTGGTTCATGCCAATCATGTGACTTTTCACGCCAGCAATAATTTGCTGAAGTTGCAAACTGCGTGCAGTGAATTAATTTCAAATGGCCCAAGCACTTGATTAACTTTCGTACTTGTAATGTTGTCTTCATGTATTGTTGATTTACAATTTTTCTGATTTTCACAGCCACGAAAGCTTTGGATTTAGCCACACGCGAATTGTGTCCGGAACTCGAGTACTTCGTGGTGTTTTCTTCGGTGTCATGCGGGCGTGGTAACCCGGGACAGAGCAACTACGGACTGGCCAACTCTGCCATGGAACGGATTGTGGAGCAGCGCCAGGCTGACGGTCTACCCGGCCTCGCCGTGCAGTGGGGAGCGATCGGTGAGCGTCTCGTATCTCAGTGAACACTCTGGTGACAATGTGTACTGTTCGCTAACTATCGTAACGTTCCGTGCACAGGCGAGGTCGGGCTGATTGTGGAGACGATGGGCGGCGACGAGGCCGAGGTGGGCGGCACGGTGCCGCAGCGCGTGGCGTCGTGCATGGCGGCGCTGGGCTCGCTGCTGGCGCGCCCGCACGCCGTGGCCGCCTCCATGGTGCTGGCCGACAAGCGCCGCGCCGCCGCCGCGCCGCGCCACGACCTGCTGCACGCCGTCGCCAACATCCTGGGTGAGTGCTGCCCGCCCGACAGCTGCACGTGCTGCATGCTGCCGGCCGACAAGCGCCGCGCCGCGCCACGACCTGCTGCACGCCGTCGCCAACATCCTGGGTGAGTGCTGCCCGCCCGACAGCTGCACGTGCTGCATGCTGCCGGCCGACAAGCGCCGCGCCGCCGCCGCGCCGCGCCACGACCTGCTGCACGCCGTCGCCAACATCCTGGGTGAGTGCTGCCCGCCCGACAGCTGCACGTGCTGCATGCTGCCGGCCGACAAGCGCCGCGCCGCGCCACGACCTGCTGCACGCCGTCGCCAACATCCTGGGTGAGTGCTGCCCGCCCGACAGCTGCACGTGCTGCATGCTGCCGGCCGACAAGCGCCGCGCCGCGCCACGACCTGCTGCACGCCGTCGCCAACATCCTGGGTGAGTGCTGCCCGCCCGACAGCTGCACGTGCTGCATGCTGCCGGCCGACAAGCGCCGCGCCGCCGCCGCGCCGCGCCACGACCTGCTGCACGCCGTCGCCAACATCCTGGGTGAGTGCTGCCCGCCCGACAGCTGCACGTGCTGCATGCTGCCGGCCGACAAGCGCCGCGCCGCGCCACGACCTGCTGCACGCCGTCGCCAACATCCTGGGTGAGTGCTGCCCGCCCGACAGCTGCACGTGCTGCATGCTGCCGGCCGACAAGCGCCGCGCCGCCGCCGCGCCGCGCCACGACCTGCTGCACGCCGTCGCCAACATCCTGGGTGAGTGCTGCCCGCCCGACAGCTGCACGTGCTGCATGCTGCCGGCCGACAAGCGCCGCGCCGCGCCACGACCTGCTGCACGCCGTCGCCAACATCCTGGGTGAGTGCTGCCCGCCCGACAGCTGCACGTGCTGCATGCTGCCGGCCGACAAGCGCCGCGCCGCCGCCGCGCCGCGCCACGACCTGCTGCACGCCGTCGCCAACATCCTGGGTGAGTGCTGCCCGCCCGACAGCTGCACGTGCTGCATGCTGCCGGCCGACAAGCGCCGCGCCGCGCCACGACCTGCTGCACGCCGTCGCCAACATCCTGGGTGAGTGCTGCCCGCCCGACAGCTGCACGTGCTGCATGCTGCCGGCCGACAAGCGCCGCGCCGCGCCACGACCTGCTGCACGCCGTCGCCAACATCCTGGGTGAGTGCTGCCCGCCCGACAGCTGCACGTGCTGCATGCTGCCGGCCGACAAGCGCCGCGCCGCCGCCGCGCCGCGCCACGACCTGCTGCACGCCGTCGCCAACATCCTGGGTGAGTGCTGCCCGCCCGACAGCTGCACGTGCTGCATGCTGCCGGCCGACAAGCGCCGCGCCGCGCCACGACCTGCTGCACGCCGTCGCCAACATCCTGGGTGAGTGCTGCCCGCCCGACAGCTGCACGTGCTGCATGCTGCCGGCCGACAAGCGCCGCGCCGCGCCACGACCTGCTGCACGCCGTCGCCAACATCCTGGGTGAGTGCTGCCCGCCCGACAGCTGCACGTGCTGCATGCTGCCGGCCGACAAGCGCCGCGCCGCCGCCGCGCCGCGCCACGACCTGCTGCACGCCGTCGCCAACATCCTGGGTGAGTGCTGCCCGCCCGACAGCTGCACGTGCTGCATGCTGCCGGCCGACAAGCGCCGCGCCGCGCCACGACCTGCTGCACGCCGTCGCCAACATCCTGGGTGAGTGCTGCCCGCCCGACAGCTGCACGTGCTGCATGCTGCCGGCCGACAAGCGCCGCGCCGCGCCACGACCTGCTGCACGCCGTCGCCAACATCCTGGGTGAGTGCTGCCCGCCCGACAGCTGCACGTGCTGCATGCTGCCGGCCGACAAGCGCCGCGCCGCCGCCGCGCCGCGCCACGACCTGCTGCACGCCGTCGCCAACATCCTGGGTGAGTGCTGCCCGCCCGACAGCTGCACGTGCTGCATGCTGCCGGCCGACAAGCGCCGCGCCGCGCCACGACCTGCTGCACGCCGTCGCCAACATCCTGGGTGAGTGCTGCCCGCCCGACAGCTGCACGTGCTGCATGCTGCCGGCCGACAAGCGCCGCGCCGCGCCACGACCTGCTGCACGCCGTCGCCAACATCCTGGGTGAGTGCTGCCCGCCGTCGCCAACATCCTGGGTGAGTGCTGCCCGCCGTTGCCAACATCCTGGGTGAGTGCTGCCCGCCGTCGTCAACATCCTGGGTGAGTGATGCCCGCCGTCGTCAACATCCTGGGTGAGTGCTGCACGCCGTCGCCAACATCCTGGGTGAGTGCTGCCCGCCCCCGCCCCCCACCCGACAGCTGCGCGTGCTGCATGCTGCCGGCCGACAAGCGCCGCGCCACGACTTGCTGCACGCCGTCGCCAACATTCTGGGTGAGTGCAATCACAACTACAAAGCTTTTAGTAAAACAAAAAATCTGAACAGCTTATTGAATTGAGCAGGTGGTTATACATACCTCATGAAGTATTATTCTACCCTTTGATTTTATAGTAAATACAAAATAAAAAGAAATATACAACGATAGTGTAGATTCTAAACAAACTAATACAAAAATACAATTAAAACAAAAATCATTTGACTTGTTGATTTTTTATTAGATTAGTTTTAGGGCAAGAAAATGTCGGTAGCGGAGCAATTAACAATTTTATTGATGCCGGCAGGGATCGAATCCGGTTTGCTCGCGTACTGTGAAATTTACAGCTAGCGCTAACCACCTAAGCTACTACAGATCGTACAATTGTTTACCACTTTTTAAACATTATAGCTATGCTATTTTTATATTGTTTTATATTTATTATTATTTTATTTATAAATATTTTATTAATAAATAAGTAATTATTAATCTAATAAACATAATAAAACAAAATTAATAATAAATACACAATCATTATTTTCATCTGTTATCCAAGGACCAATCAACTAAAGAAATCAAAGTCCGTAACAAACGATACGATGTGACCTTGAGCTTGGTACTACAAACTGTTTGCAAAATGCGTAATAGGTATTTTAACTATATTTTGCAAATTTTTGCAAAATTACTACTTTGGTGGCTTACCGATTTATAATGTTATTTATTGTTGACCAAACAAATATTCAAACAAATTAAAATACGAAACACTGACTTTGTAGTTTTGTACTCAACACCGACACGTATGGCGTAGGTAATTAGTATTGAGACGAGATTTGAAATGAAAGGCCTACTTACTGTTTGAATAATAAATAAACCTGCAATAAATTACAATATATTCTATTATATTGGAATCAAACACGTAATAGAAATAATGCAAATTGAATTAATGAAAGTTAAAAAAAATATATATATATATAACACGCAAGAAATTCCGCGCGAAAACCCTATCGCGTGACAATCTAAAATTACTACAAAATGTATTTTATCACTGTCAAACAAGCGAACGAAGTTTGGCAACGCCGCTCTTCTTTGAACGTAGGTCATGTAGGTCAAGGTTAGGGAGGACGGCATCGTCAACGTTGCCGTCAAAGGTGGTCAGTTTTATGTTATTTTATTGTTTTTTTTTTTTTTAATGAACGGTAGGAAAGGAAATAAATCAATTTTGTATATAAGATATTAATTTATAATAATTATAATATCTTCTGCATGCCATCTAGCGTACCAATGTCTAAACTATGCCTTTGGCGCTTTTGCTTGTCAAAGTTGTCGAAATTCACTCACACTACTAAAGAAGTGTCAAAATTTTCCTAGATTTCACTATTCTTTTTCTTATTAATACTGTAAATTCTTTCCTGAAAAGGTCAACCGCGTACACATTTCAGTGTAGAAAAGTGATAAAATGATTAGTTTTAAACAAATAGTGTCTGTGTTTAGCGAAAATGTCCTGACAAAAATGTATGGGCGGGCTATCGGAGCATCCACCTTAAGGAACAAACATGAAACAATACATCATGGTTACATTGTATGTATAAATCTTAGACATATCCCATAGTCCTACTGCTTACACTACACCTCTCTTCATTTTTGAAAAGGTTATGATATAAAGGAAAACACTGCATGTTTTTGAAATATTTATAACTAGAAAAGTTTAATTACTATGCAGTTCTATATTTACTATGCAGGCATCAAAGATCCCAGTAAAGTGTCTGAAACCGCTAACTTGGCCGAGCTGGGTATGGACTCGCTGATGGGTGCCGAGATTAAGCAGACACTGGAGCGCGGGTACGATGTGGTGTTGGGCGTGCAGGAGATTCGAGCGTTGACATTCGCGAAGTTGCGCGCGCTGGCCGGCGGCGAGTCCGAGGCCGCGCCGGAGCCCGCGCCCGCCCCCGCCTCCGCCCCCGCCCCCGCCCCCGCCCCCGCGCCCGCCGCCGCGCCCGCGCAGCCCAACGGGACGAAACAGCCGCAGCCGCCGCTAGGCACTGACGAGGTGCAGTTCGCTGGATTGAGCGAGCTTATGCCCAAGCAAGTGCTAGTGGAAATGCCCAGCGCTGCACCCGATGATACCAACATTAAACCTGTCTTCATGGTTAGCATTATTCTAAACATTTTTTATTAATATAAATATTTATATAAGTAAATAAAGTACTATTACTGAAGACGAATTTACTGTCAGTCAGTCCACTTGATGGTTAATGTTTTCACATTGACATGTTAGATATGTTTGTAAACTTAAAGCATATGGACATCTAAAAGTAACTTTAAGGAAACATTACAAATAAGAGAAGATAGAGAAGACTAAAATGCCATGCAAAAATACAATTGCAATAAAGTTAGCTTTCTATCTATGTATCTATATTCTTGAACACAGAATGGCTGATATTTTTGCTTGGTGGCAGAAATATGTAAGAGGTAATAAGTGGTATCTATTCAGGTTTGTTAGGCAATCAAAGAGCTTTATTACTTCTGTAGTAATTATAAGTAAATCTGAAATAAAATTTGCTATATATGCATTGTTATTTTTTAAAGTTAAGACCGAATGTTAGATGAATGAATAAGATAGAGGATAAGTAAAAAAAATAGAAATGAAGTTATTGTAATTGTGATGTAAGTGTTGTAAATAATGTTAATTTTTTTTAGAAAGTTCATAAAATATTTGATTATTACCAATTGTTATTTCTTTAGTTTTTGTCACTTATTACTTTTACGGAGTGTTTCTGTTTTGATTTTGTATTGAGGATTGAATTTTTGTTTCATTATGATTGTGATTATCACAGTCTATGGTAGTCCACTTTAAACATAGACTTTCATGATAGATTGTTTCATAGAGGGATGTTGACTAACTCTTATTTTGTAAATATCTTCGTCCAGTTATTACTGCTTTAAGGTGGATCGGCAGAGAATGCTTTTAGCATTAAGTCTGCCTTTTATACTGTTTCTAAGCTTCAATAAAAATATTTTTTATAGAACAAGTAGTAATTCGTAATTGTAATCGTAGAAACTATAGTTTGTATTTTATGCTTGGTAAAGAATTAAAATGCAGATGTTTTTTATAGGACAAGGATGACAGACGGGTACATAGTTCATCTGATGGTAAGTGGTTGCTGTGGCCCATAGACATCTACATCTATTCTCGCTACATTTATTCTCGATGACAAATTAAAATGCAGATACGTTGTTATCCGTGAGGATTAGGATGGAATGTTTCGTTTCCAGTAAATAGGGTTTTCGGTTGTTTACACTTACTATAGGAAATATATGAGTGTTAAGCTGGTATTTTACGTCGGTATTCTGTGGGAGCTCGGTCCTTGTGGTGGTGCAGGCATAATGAATATCGGGCTAGCAGTGAGAGTGGCGGGTGTGTGCAGGTGCACCCGATCGAGGGCTCGGTGCGGCGGCTGCGCGGCGTGGCGGCGGGGCTGCGCGCGCCGGCGCGCGGGCTGCAGTGCACGCGCGGCGCGCCGCTGCGCGACATGCGCGCGCTGGCGCAGCACTACGTGGCCGCCGTGCGCGCGCACCAGCCGCGCCCGCCCTACACGCTGCTGGGCTACTCGTTCGGCGCCAGCGTGGCCTTCGAGATGGCGCTGCAGCTGGAGCAGGCCGGCCTGGCGGTGCGCCTGGTGCTGGTGGACGGCTCGCCCGACTACGTGGCCACGCACACCACGCGCACCACCAACAAGCGCGCCGCGCGCTCGCAGGCCACCGACGAAGCCGACGCGCTCGCCTACTTCGCGCAGCTCTTCAAAGACCTAGACGTCACCAAGGTACGTTTATCGACAAAACTCCCAAGGGCTTTCTTGCCGATTCTTCCCAGGACAGAGTTTTTTTTCCGAAGTAGTAATAAAAATTAAAAATTACTTTCATTAAGAATTTCTTATAATTTATATTGAATAAAAAAATATTTTATTTTATTCCATACATTACAACCTCAAAAAAAGATTTACCATAGTTACCACAGTTCAATTGCAGTTCTTTTCTTTTAAGTTATTATCAAAAAAATTGTTCCTAAAAATGTAAAATGTATTTGTTCCTAAAGTATGTCAAAAATTTTACAAATACAAACTTTTCTTACAATGTTTACTTTTATCGATGAGTAAAATTTATATAGCAAAAAACAAATAAGCATTTAAAATAATATTAAATAAGAATGCACAAAACAAAGAAAACATCGATATTTATCAAATCGTATTTTAAAACTATCGATAATTATTCAATGAAAAATATCGATATATCGTCATTTTTGTCACAAATATTTAAAATCCATAAAAAAAATATTACAAATGAATATTTTTTGATTTATGGTTCGAAATTTGGCAGAGGAGGGATTTAGTTATACTTAATAAAAATCAGAGTTACCTCAAAAATAAATTGAAAATGTTGCAAATTCGATACGTTAAAATAAATATATGACGTTTTATTAAATTATCACGGTTTAAAATATCGACCATGTATATCAATAATTTTACTAGCAAATGTCAATATTTTTGAGTCAATGACGGCTCCGTAGCGCAGTGGCTTAGCAATCAGTTGTAGCGCTGGGGGCCGAGGGTTCGAATCCCACACGGAGCAAGTATTTGTATGGCCTACAAATAATTGTTCCGGGTCTGGATATTTGTCCTTGTGCAATTTATGTTTGTAAACTGCCTCCACGACACAGGAAAAAATCCTAGTGTGGGGGTAACGTTTTTTAAAGAATCAAGAAAAAAAAACGTAGTGATAAACAATGCGATCGGTATATTGCATTGGAGTAATGTTAGAGTGATGTGTTGCAGCTGGCAACGGAGCTGGAAGCGCTGGAGGACTGGGAGAGCCGCGTGCGGCGCGTGACGGCGCTGCTGGGCGGCGCCACGCCGCACGCCGACGACGCGCTGGCCGCCGCCGCCGCGTCCTTCTACCGCAAGCTGGTGGTGGGCGACGCGTACCGGCCCGAGCGCCGCCTGGCCGCGCCCGTCACGCTGTTCACCGCGCGCGACAACTACGTGGCGCTGCCCGCCGACTACGGCCTGGCCGCCCACTGCGCCGGCCCGCTCGCCACGCACCAGCTGCCCGGCGACCACCGCACCATCCTGCAGGGCGCCTCGGCGCGCGCCATCGCCGACCACCTGTCGGCGCTGCAGCAGCCGCAGCAGCCGCAGCAGCCGCAGCAGCCGCAGCAGGCGCACCACTAGCGCGGGGCCCGGCGCCGTCGCCGACGTCGCCGCCGCTAAACGCTCAAACCAGCAGCCCCGTACACTCGCTGCATGCGTGTCAAGCTTCCCACGCGACTCGTGCAGGCTTGTCGTATTCCTAAACTGACTGTTTTAATAATGTACAAGTGCAACGGCCTCTCTATTTAATACCGCGGGGATTGTAGTTTGATTTGTATTTAAACAATAAATTATTGTAGTGGAGCCCGGCTCCCGCTTGTGATACGGTACATTCCAGTCCGCGACGCCGCTCGACTCTACGCCCGGCCTCTGATAGAAATATTAATACACTTATAATTTATTCACAAACCATATCTATCTAAATTCTTCGCTGATTAACGTTATGTTATTAATCATTAAGTGCAATTTTCTAAATGATATCACTAAGTATTTAGTACAATACATGTACAATACACGAGGCAGAGGCAGAGGCGTAGAGAAGTGCGACGTCACGCTTTATATTTAAATAGTGATAATTAGGTAGTTCCTGTGTATGGTTGATATGATAATTTATTTTATTACTGACTTGCTGCCCTGTGATCAAAAATGCATTAATTTACCTACCAGTTGTTCAATTTAAATCTTAAAAAATTAACAAAGCTATTTTAACTGCTTTCAATTTTTGTAAACATTTAGCGAACGCGCTGTGTGATTGATTATTGTTATCAATCAATCAACTGAATTATTAAATAATTGCAAAGTGCAAAAGCGTTTCCAAAGACGACAGTTTGAGAGATACAAACGCTTAGTTATTACTAATTATTACTCATAAGCATCGTTAAATATTGTGTTAGGTTATATTTCATGTGGATGCATTTGGGGATAACGGCATTATATTAACATTATTGGTAGACATTTGATTTCTGTGACTGTTTAAAAAGGCAAAATATCATAAGTTGATTTCCTGTACATATTATAAAACATATATGTGTATATACATTTATGTATATAGCTATAGTCACATCTTATTAGATTGACCTACTTTGACAATTTTACTAAAACGTATATTACGTTACATAAAACCGTTTTCTGTCTTCATTTATGTCATCTGTTATATTTGAGGGAATGTTTTGTTATGTTAAAAAATAACTTGTATGCCATAAACATAGCTACAGTAGGCATTTACTGTGATCTGATAAGTAGCATTTGATATTATTTTCGTATTTATAACATTATCACAATTAGTTTGAGAAGACGATAATTTATATTTCTTGTGTTTAGTATGAACTAGTTACAAGTAATAATTTTGTTTGGATATGGTGATTATAAGAAGTTAAAATGTAATACTATTTTTTTAATAAACGAATATGAAGGATTCCTGAGTATTTTATCTCCCGTTTAACTACATTACAGTTATTATTGTTAAAATGAAAATGAATTGTATAAGATGAAAGTTCGACACCAGTTCGTATTGAGGAAGAATCAGACATCTATAAAATTATCATGTGACTAGTCTTAATACAATATTGTTCGTTCTTTTTATTCACACTAGGATGTTTTTATTTTATTAGTTTACTTTGTTTAATTATTAACTATGTTATGTTTCTATTACATTTTAGATCATATAGTTTCCATTGGAATTGCAGAATTATACACTCTAATACTACAGTCACACACAACACTCACCCCTCACAATCACAAACCTACACTCAGTATACTCAAGAGCGAGTTAAAACTATTAACAGTACTGTAAAACCTAGATCAAAAATGCTTGCATTATTTCGCTTACCCGTTATTAACGCTACTCTGTTCCAGATCCTTGCCTTTTCAAAAATACATACATTGTCACGTCACACATTAGACGCGACAATATTTTTATTATCTTTTTACGAATAATATCCGTATTATGCAAAACATTGAAAATTTAAACCTAGATCTGGACTCAATCCAAGTAGCTAAAACGATAACGTGCGACATAGAAAATGCAAAGAACTTTGTATCTAAAAATTGCGATACTGTTAATATCTTATCTCAAAATATTCGTAGCCTCAATTGTAACATGCCAAACTTCGTCACTCTCCTACAAAGGTCTGAAATATACTGGGATGTATTAGTCCTTACAGAATGCTGGCTACCATCAGCAAAGTTTATACCAACTCTTGACAAGTACAACCATATAGTTACAACCTCTCATAAAACCCAAAATGAAGGAGTAGTTATCTATTATAATAAGCACTTTAATGCAGTATGCGAAGAACCTGTAGTTACAGACGCTAATTGCCTGGTATTAAAATGAGATCAAGAAACTTGTATCCTAGGAGTATATCGCCCACCAAGCCAAACTAATACATAAAAATTTATTGATTCCTTAGATTCAGTTCTTACGTGTTTAAAAAGCTTTAAAAATATTTTCCCTCTGCGGTGATATAAATATTAACATAGTTCCGAACAGTTCTGACAAAAGATCTTATGATTACCTGAACATCCTGGCAAGTCATGGTATGCTCCCAGGTCATACTTTGCCAACGCATGGACGTACATGTCTTGATCACATGATGCTTAAAACTTAAATGGAAGCTCTCTGTTTCGTATTTGAAACATCCATTACTGATCACGAGAGTGTGGCTATTAGTTGTAGACTAAAACCGCGTACTAATTATTTAAACAAAACTCATTGCGTTGTTGACTTTGATAAACTAGATAAAGCTATGCAAAACTAATTTCCAACCTATCCTTGAATATCAAGATCCTAACTTATCAACTGATCTTTTGGTATCGAATTTATCCTCAGCCATTAATAACAATTCCAACATGGTTCAAACAACTACAAGAAGTTTGATTTCTAAACCATGGATAACTAAAGGACTACTTCGTTGTATGAAGAACCGGGACAATTTATATAAAAAACATAAAAGAAATCCGGACGACGAGGATGTTAAAATAACATATAGACACTATCGAAACTTTTGCAACAATATGCTCAAGAAATCGAAAAGAATCTACGAAAAGCAGGAGATAGAAAAAGCCAAGGGTAATAAAAACAGCTATGGGATGTTATTAAAAGGATTAGCGGGTCCAATAAGACGGCAGACTATTCATTGTCCCTCTTGTCTCCTAACAGCCCTAACACGGACATTAATGTTGTTAATAGTTTCTTCGCAAATGTCGGAGCAAACCAGGCTGAAAATATTACCAACGCCAAACAAACTACACTTTCCCTTGCCAATGATAATATCTCCGAAACACCTCTCAATTCACTTGTCATGCTCCCTACGGATGAGGAAGAAATTTTAACCCTTATTAGAGGATTAAAGGACAATAGTGCTGTGGGAATCGATCTGATCAGCGGTAAAATAATTAAAAGATATGCAAACCTTCTCACCTCATCGATCACCCACATATGCAATCTTGCAATATCGAAAGGTGTTTTTCCGAGGGCATTTAAAACAGCACTTATTAAACCCATTTACAAAGCTGGTGAAAAAGACTGTATAAATAACTACCGACCTATCTCTATTCTACCAGCTCTGTCCAAGGTCCTCGAACGTCTTATAAATCAGCGTTTAATAAAATTCTTAGAGAAAAATACACTTATTTCTCCTGCACAATATGGCTTTCGATCTGGTCGAAGCACCAATGACGCGGTACAGGAGCTATTAAATTCTATCGTTGTCAATTTGGACGGCAAGAAGAAATGTTTAACGGTGTTTCTGGACCTGGCGAAAGCGTTCGACACAGTCTCAATTCCTCACCTATTAAAAAAATTAGAAAGACTCGGTATAAGAGGTATTTCACTTAAACTAATGGAAGACTATCTTACTGGTAGGACACAACGGGTCAGAATAGAAAACTTACTAAGTGATGAGGTAGCTGTTAAATTTGGTATTCCACAAGGCAGCATAATCGGTCCTACACTCTTCTTGGTGTACATCAATGACCTTTGCCAACTTCCCCTTCATAAAGGTAAAACTTTTTCATTTGCTGACGATACCGCCTTGTTCTTCAGTGGAGATAGCTGGGAAGAAGTATTTCATGTCGCACAAGCAGGTTTCAATAAAGTCAGGAGCTGGCTGCAAAATAATGTTTTAACACTCAACGTGTCTAAAACTAAATACGAGTATATAACCTTTGCCCATAAGAGTAATCTGCTCCCACCGAACTCTTTTACTATTTCTGCCCATGCCTGTGATCTGAAAACCATATGCCCATGTCCCACTCTTGAAAGAGAAGAGAATATTAAATATCTTGGGGTCATAATTGATCAACATCTTTCCTTTAAACCGCACATAGAGACCCTTATAACCAGACTCCGAAAATTGATCTTTATTTTCAAAATACTAAGACAATCTGCTGACCGAAAGATTATTAAGATGGTTTATTACGCATTATGCCAATCCCTAATTGAATACTGCATCACGTCATGAGGGGGTGTTGCCAAAACTCATCTAATCGAAGTAGAGAGAGCACAGCGCGCCATACTTAAGGTAAGTGCTGGTCTTCACTTCCGATTCCCTACTGTAGACCTTTATAAGGAATGGGATGTTCTTACTGTTAGGCAAACTTTCATTTTGCATACTGTGCTCAAAACACACTCCCAGCTGCAGTATGATGAGAAACTACTTAATGATAAGCGCCGCAAAGATAAGGTATGTCGCACACTTCAATTTAAAACTTTCTTGGTCAAAATCTATACAACAAATTAAATAGCATCCTTAATATATATCCTAAAACCAAATTTAACTGTAAAATAACATTAAAAAACTATTTAAAAAATCTAGATTATGAAAAAACAGAGCACCTTTTGACTGTACTTAAATAATCCTTAATTCAAGATATATCTACTCATAGCCGTTAACTCCATACTCGCAACACACATTCACATATATACACATTTACCCTGCCAAAAATCGCTTCGTACATACATCTGCACTCACACACTTATTGACACTTCACACAAACTTAAACAACTTATAATTTATGCAACATTTTATACATTCTTTTTATATCAATAGCTTTTATTGGTTTTAATTATGCCACTAATT